CTTATTATAGAAATAAATTAATGGCATAAAATTGTTCAGGGATTTTTTTTCTGGATTTTTTTCCGGGGCCCAGTACCTGATAATGCTTCAGTTTAAAGCTTCCCTTCCTAATTCCTTGTGTCAATGAATTTACCAAGCCAATGCATAAAGAATGAGGACAATAAGGAAACATTTTTTCTTCTGTTTTATTTTTAAAGCATATGTAATATTAGGAAACATGAGCTTAAATGGCATGTCCATCTGCAACAGATTAAATTCATTCAGCTTATTGGAAAGGCGGAAATAATAATTATAATGAAATAATAAATTTTGTTGACAGTCTTTTCTCAGTTGAAGGATATATACAACTCCAAGATCTACCATGCCATCTTCATTTCCGTGTTCTTTAATATATGGTATCTGCTTCCCTAAGTCATTGCTAATTAGCCAAATAATTGCTGAAGTTGCTGTGAAAGAAAATTGTTTTCTTCTATCCAGGTTTTGCAGAATTTCAAATGTTTTTACATGTCAGAAGAAAAAATGTGACCAGCTTTATTCTTTTACGCTTTAATTGACCTGCGATCAGAAATTACTTCTATTCAGTATTTCCACCCATGCAAAACAGTGTTAATGGTCTAATTGAAGTTGATATTTCAAATATTGGGGAGTGCATTCACAAAGACTAAACTTCAGCTTGCGGATGGCAGCTTTCCTAGTCTCCTGCAGCAGCAACCTGAGGACACTCACACCTGCCCTACTCTAGGGGCTGTGCATCTACCAGAATGTCTTTCTCTCCATTATCTATCCAGGCTGCTAGGGGACAGCCAGCTTCCAGGGGCCAGCACTAGGCCTGGTGACTACAGCCTCCCTTCCTCCTTCTTCTGCTGTCACTTGCTACTTCATCCACTTGGTGGCTGCTTTCTGTAGGATTTTGTACTCTGATTTTGTAAAGTGCCTGAGTATATGGTAAAATTCAACTCTATTCATGATAGTGCTTTAAATAGTTTCATTAAAATTATCTTCCGGCAAGTTTCTGGTAGGCAAGTTTCCCAAAATTTAGAATTACATAATTTACAAAGCCTGTGTAGGAGTTATGGCCCTACAGAACATCCAGCTTGTTGCAGCAAAACTGGCAGCACACACTGTCTTATGTTTTCCAAATAGCTGAGTTGATGATTTGGTTATTTGACATTGGTCAGGCTTAGTTGCAGGAAATTTATGCCAGATGCAAATGTGTTTGAGATTGCTGCACTGGTTAACTAACTTACCACAGATCATGCAACATTTCAGATATACAGGGAAATAGAGTTTGGAAAAGAGCCAAAATGCAGAAGGTCTAGATGAAGCCTTGATGCCTTCTGTCAGATGTACTCTAAAAGACTCAAGGGAAGACTCAGACATTTATTTACTTTGGGGCCCAA